AAAAATGGGCTAAAGAGCTAAACAGAGAATTTACAAAACAAGAATCACAAATGGCTGAAAGACATTTAAAGAAATGCTCAACATCCTTAATTAACAGAGAAATGCAAATCAAAACCACTCCAAGATACCATCTTACACCTGTCAGAATGGCTATGATCAAAAATAGTAATTACAGTCAATGTTGGAGAGGATGTGGAGCAAAGGGAACACTCCTCCATTCTTGGTGGGAATGCAAGCTTGTACAACCACTGTGGAAATCAGTATGGTGGTTTCTCAGAAAATTAGGAATCGAACTACCTCAAGACCCAGCCATCCCACTCTTGGGCATATACCCAAGGAACACTGATTCATACCACAAAGATACATGCTCAACTATGTTCATAGCAGCACTATTTGTAATAGCCAGAACTTGCCCATCAACTGAAGAATGGATTAAGAAAATGTGGTACATATACACAATGGAGTACTACTCAGCAGAGAAAAACAATTAAAGCATGAAATTTGCAGGCAAATGGATGGAACTAGAAAGAAATCATCCTGAGTGAGGTAACCCAAACCCAGAAGGACAAACATGGTATGTACTCACCCATAAGTGGATTCTAGATATAAAATAAAGAACAATCAGACTACAACCACAGAACCATGGAGAATATCTATCTATCTATCTATCTATCTATCTATCTATCTATCTATCTATCTATCTATCTATCTATCGATAGCTAGCATGGGAGACCCTAGGACGACTATGGCTTATAATAAGTTTTGGTTTTACTCAATTAACTGAGCAAGCCTCAATGAAACATTTCCCAATAAAGATGGGAATACATACTGTATCAAGCTGATAATAGAAAGGAGGATAAATTGGTTAATTTGAAAAAGTGAAAAAAGAAAAGAAAAAATTGAACTGTTTAAAAAGGCTCCAAACAAACATATCTTGCTGGAGTAAAAAAAGGGGGAACTGGGGACTCATCTTTCCTCTCCACATTCTATTCTTTCCCTTGTTTTATACATTTAAATTTTTTTTTTATTTATTTATTTTATTTATTTATTATATAGTGTTCTGCCTGCATGTATGCCTGGAGGTCAGAAGAGGACACCAGATCTCATTATAGATGGTTGTAGGCCACCATGTGGTTGCTGGGAATTGAACTCATGGCCTCTGGATGAGCAACTGGTGCTCTTAACCTCTGAGCCATCTCTCCAGCCCTTACATTTAAATTTTTTATCAGTGGTACTTGCTGGAGTATCCATTGCAGATAAGCACTGAAGGTCTCCTGTTGCAAATCACCCTTTGGAATGATGGAAGGATCTTTCTACTAGCACTTGAAGGAGATGCAATCTGGTGTTGGTGTGGGCCCGGGATTCTGTTTATGTCTTTCTTCAGGACAATGAGGTACCTCTTTGGATTCCTGAGCGCTGTGTGTGCCCTGTGACTGCTGCTGAAACAAACCATGACAGAGACCTATTGGGCCTTAATGAAACACTCTCCACTTCTGATGCCAATGGGGACTGAGAGCCCAATATGCCCAGTTTTGGCAAGCATTAACATAAGCCTAGGAACTGTAGCCATGCTTTTGGATTCTCCAGAAGAGCTGCCAGCCTAAGTAGTGCTAGGATCAAGAAAAAAGAGCCTTGGCGGTTCATGTTCCTGGAGTTGTATCCATGCCAGTGGATGTCCGCACGCTCCAGAAGAGAATTTGACATTGCTGCTGCTGTTGTTGCTGTTATAGCAGTGGCAGCCACCGCTGCTACTGTTTCTGGGATAACCATTTCATAATTGCTTACTACAGCTAGCACAGTGGAGACCCTGGCAGCAAAAGTAGCTACAACAGTTAATTAATCTTTTATTCTATTGGGCATGATAAATTTAATTCAATAGTTATATACAGTTCGATTGGCTTTGAAAATTATAAATTTGTAAACTCAAGTTCCATTTGCTTTTGGGATACCATCTTACAAGGACTCCAATTTGCAGCAAGGCTCATTAAGGAAGGGAATGGCTCAGTTGCCTTTAGCCTACTGGCTATGGGTGAGATAGGACCTCTGTTGGTCTTTTCTGTGTTGAACATACAGATTACAAGCCCAGTGACACTTTGAGATCTTTGGCAGCAGTTAACTCTGCAACTCACACACGATTGAGCCTGTATGATAATGAGTATTCAGAGACGGGTAATGCCTGGGGGGTGCTCACCAACCTAAGACAGAGCGCCTCTGTGGCCTGGGCAGGCGTCTCCATGACGGGTAAGGTGACCTGCTGACGTCCCACACAACCTAAGTCAGAAGCTCATTTTTTAGTAAAAGGGGGACCTGTAGGGCCCTGGCCCCATTTTGGGTAACTGTTGCCTTGCTTGCTGACCTTGACCTTGATATCCTCCCTATGCTAATTCCCTGCCAGGTTCCACCCTCCTGAATGCTTAAGGGAAGTTCCTTGTCTGTGTATGCTGCATAATGGGTGTTAACAGCTTAGATGCAAGATTGTAAAACATCGGTAGTGAACTTCTGTCCTCCGGGGTTCTCCCATTGTGCTGTAAGCCTGTATTTAAGACTTCTTCTCTCCTTCAAAAAACAGCATTCGGCATAAAAAAATTAAAAATAATAAATAAATAATAAAAATAAAAGCCAAGCAAAAAAATAATAAAATAAAATAACAACAGCAATGTGGAGACACTCATCGGGGGAAAAAAAAGTAGACAAGGGTTATGCGAATGAATCAGAAATACATAGCACTATATTCACTAGAAGAAAAAGCCAGAGCATGGACCAATATACACACAGAGGGACCAAGTGCATGGACTACACTGTGAGGAGTTCCCTTCGGAGAACTCACCAAGTTGATTCACAATTCTGCTCAGACTTGATGGTTTCCAGACCAGACATTGCAGGAAATATGGAAAGTGGATATTTGTGTTCCAGGCAAAAGGTAATGATGTAAGCAACCTCTGAGATAGGCAATAGCCTAGCCTGAGGTATGAGAAGACTGGAAAGGTGAAATCCAGACATGGTGAGAAGAGCCCAAAGTGAAGCCAGAGCAACAAGCAGACTGGTGTGTTGACATGGTGGGGGTGTCTGAAGAAATTATGTCACACATGCTCCTGTCTAAGATTTGAGAACAGGAAGCCAGGGCCATAAATAAGAAAAGAGGACACCTAGGAAGGATGGCAGAAGTGTGGATATAAGAGAGTGACAGATGGAAGAACAACTCTTGAAACCTGAGCTGTGGGATGCCCTTTAGGGAATATGGACAGGGAACGCAGGAGTCACTAACCTAAACCCGAGCAGTGTGTGGGAGAAGTCATCCGACCGAGGAACACCAATGTTTAGTATTACCTCAATTGAGAGGAGTCAGGCATGGGGCCTGGGATATTGTGATCCAAAGGAGGACATAAATGTAAGAAACAAATGTTATGGAATTCAAGAAAACGTTATTTCAAGAAGGAAAAACAGACCAGTGTATTGAGCCATCTGGAAGGTGAGAAGGCTGTCTGGCAAGCAGGCCACTGGACACCTCAGGAGGAGTAAACTCAAGGGTGTGGGGAGAAACAGCCAGGACAGAGTGAGGAATCACTGCTAGGTGATGACTGCAGACAAAGCTAGGGTACAGAAAGCAAGTGGGATGGGGACTCTAAAAGGATGGAAGGCCTTCTGAATGTGTTTACAGCTAGGAAGAAGCCAACAGGTAGGCCCAGAAAAGAGCAAGGACACAGCCCGGGGGGGGGGGGGAGCAGACTCAGAGTCAGGTAAGAGGAGCACAGAAGGGAACCTTGTGTGCACAAGAGAGATTGGATTGCTCCTAGGAGGAGATGAGAGTATTCCTAAGCCTGGAGATCACAGGGCTGATAACTTGTTAGGACCTTGTACTGGGTGGTTTTGTGCATCAACTTGACTTAAGCTAGAGACATCAGAGGAAGGAGCCTCAGCTGAGGAAATGCCACCTTGAGATCCACCTGTGAGGCATTTTCTCATTAGGGATCAATGGGAGAGGTGCCATCCCTGGGTTGTTGGTCTTCAGTTCTATAAGAAGGTTGGCTGAGCAAGCCATGGGAAGCAAGCCAATAAGCAGCATCCTCTATGGCCTCTGCATCAGCACCTGCCTCCAGGATCCTGCCCTGTTTGAGTTCCTGTCCTGACTTCCTTCACTGATGAACAGCAATGTTCAAGTATAAGCCAAATCAACCCTGTTCTCCTCAACTTGTCTTTTGGTCATGGTGTTTCATCGCAGCAACAGAAGCCCTAACTAATACAGACCCTGACAGAGATGTTGACTTTCAGTTCTGAGACAGAATTTTTTTTTTTTTGTCTTGAACACTCTCACTACAAGGAAAGTGGCAACTCTATTTAACAAGTGAGAAAATACAGAGGAGTTTTAATAGAAATAAAGCACCACCACCGGCAGGGCTGAGTGTGAGTCGTAAGCCCCTGATGCCACACTATAATGACAACTGATGCCATCGTCCAAAGTGCAGGGATGACAGGTGTTCACCACCTTCTCTGGCTGCTACTCAAAAACCAGCCAAATAAAAAGAGGCTCACAGCTGCTGAGGGAGCTTCTTCCAAAGATGTGTAGGGATGTGCAGAAGGCTAAGAAGTTTGATGAGGAGTCAAATACAAGCAGGTACATTCAACAAAAAGTTTATAACTATTACTTTTTAAAAAATCCTGACACTTTCAGCTTTTTAAGACAAAATATACTGCAGGGAATCATGGAGTTCGCATGGTCAAACTGCCTTGAGAGGCATATGTCATAGGTTTTTCAGGTTAGAGTCCACAGAGCCTGGGGCATTGTGTGCCGTTCAGTTCCTCTCTCAGATGTTGAAGCATTCAGGCCACCTGTGTGTCTCTGTGTTCCCTAGAAGTTAGCAAAGCATGTGAAAGTTTTGCAGAACTATCAGCCTTAGACATTAGTCTTCTATGCCCTGGAGAGCTCGCAGCTGCCAGGATCCTGGCAGCCACCACAGTTGTTTGGATAAGTGTATAAAAAGTCTGCTTGAAGTAAACTTGTCTCATCCTGTCTTACTGAGATCCCTCCAACATGGCCCAGTTTTCATTCCCACCAACCATATCAGGAGACCCTAGTTCAGTAAGTAAGCTCTGGTGCTGACAACAAACAACTTAAAATAGGAATTGGTAAGCAGTACTCCACTTAGCAGTCTTGAAACTCCTGACAGATAGCTGAAAGACCTAAGCAATTCACAACATTTTTTACACTTCATGGGAGAAAATTAAGATTTATGTCTCAATCCCACAAGAACAATTTAAGGTCAAATAAAAGGTCTTCTAGATCATGTGTGATGACACTGAATAAATCTCACTCTGGGGGAGAGTGGACCTCTCTGCTCTCATCATGTCTTTTACAGAAGTACCTTTAAGGTCTGCTGACACATACAATATGAAGGGACACAAACAGATGGCAACGTGGTTTACAGGGCTGTCACCATACACATCTCTCTGGATGAGAGCTCTATTGAGGTATTATTGGATAATAACTTTTTTTTTTGGTTTTTTGAAACAGGGTTTCTCCATGTAATCTTGGTGCCTGTCCTGGATCTCGTTCTATAGACCAGGCTGGCCTCGAACTCACAGAGATCTACCTGGATCTCCCTCTTGAGTGCTAGGATTAAAGACATGTGCCACCACCACCCAGCTCTGGGTAATACCTTAACATCCAGGAGAGCTGTCGTGAATAGAGGGAGCCGCACACAGGTGATGCACCTTGCCGGATGTCACTGCCTCTGCCAGACTGTGGCAAAGGGTCAACCCATCCTTGACCTCGCAGCACACACTAGTGTCACTTGACAATTCCTCCTTCAGCACAGAAAGCCCAGCTAGATGTTTGCTATTTTTTACCTTTCCCTTCTTTCTTTTTTAAAGAAGCTATTAAAGACATCCTGACCTACTCACAGGCCCTGAGCCAAAGATTGAAACATCCCAAGACGCACTGATACCCATGATTCATAGCAGGACTTGTTATCAACAATGCTTTGAGTTCTAAAAGGTTAACCAACAAAAGAACCTTTAGGATGTGACCTATTAGAGTGATGGACCAGTCAGACTCCATCTTAAGAATAGAAGCCATCTTATTATGAGGTCAAAATAAGTTCATTCCTGTGTTCTATAAAACCTGGATTGACTACGTCTTGATCCATTTTCTGAAATCTGACATGTTCCACACCCTATACCCTGACCTCTTCCCTAAGGTTAAGATGTTCTGCCAAATAATTCTGAAATGTTCAGTCAAATGCCTATGTAACCAAAGTTCCCTTAGAAATCCCCCAAGTTTTGAAAAACCTCAAGTATTGCGTTTTTTTTTTTTTGACTATATAAACCCCACTGTCTCCTATATTCAATGCTATTTTCTCAAACTTCTCTTTAGGAAGATATCTCTGTCTCTGACAGAAAATAAAGCTTGCTTAATTTGATCAAAGAATCTAGGTAATGGTCTTTTTTCTCATTCACTGGGATTAACAATTGGAGGCCCCAATGATATCAAGTGATACCCCAAACCAAATTCTAAAGCTGGACCTTCACGTTCCTAAGGACTAATATTATAATGAAAATGCTAATCAATTTAGAACTAAGTTTGAATCTTAATCTTATAAAGGTATTTAACTTGTTATAAAAATAATTAAGACAAGCAAGTTAATAGTCACCTTATAAATGACCAAATTCTTTTAATATGTTCAGAATTATTCTTGTACTAAGATATAAAGTAAGTATAAATGTATAAATAAGTATAAATGTAATTTCTTTACAGAAATAAACTTTGTTTAGCCTCTTATATATGTTTTGAAGGTTAAGCCTAAAGCAAATAACTAAAAACAAGTAAACTTTACTTAAAATCAGGTATAATTAATAGATGGCCCACAAAACTTTTCAGAGATCTGCTGAATATGGAATTTAAAATGTTTAATGAAAAAGCTTCTATGGTGATATTTTATTTGTACTGAAATGTGATTTTATTTGTATGTTAATAAATAAAGTTAATAAATCTCAGAGCAATTAAATAACCAAATGCCTATTGGAATAAACCAGGCTACTAGGAGTAATGGAACAACTGAGACAGAGAGAACAGAAAATTCAGGAGAAACATAAAGAAAATTTTTTGGCAAACTTCTATAAATGAACAAAGACCAAAATTAACAATAAAAGTAAATGGTGTTTTGTTGTCTGGTCTGGTAGACACAGGTGCTGACGTGACCATAATTGCACCAGAATTTTGGCATCCAACTTGGCCTCTTCAGGAGGTAAATGTTCAACTGTTAGGAATTGGAACATTATCTCAAGTGAAACAGAGTGCAAGATGGCTCGAATGTATAGGTACAGAAGGACAGAGAGGAAAATTAAAAACATATGTGGCTAACATAGCTATGAACCTGTGGGGTCGAGACCTGTTGCAACAATAGAATACTCAGATTAACATCCCTGCAACCTCAGAAACAAATTATAAACTAGCACATGTTTCTGAGAGAAATATTAGAAGATATTTTTCTAATGAGTGGTCACCAGCCATCCATATTATACAAGAACAGGGCACAACAACTGATGATCTTCCAAAGACACCAACAGCTCTGCCTTTAAAATGGTCAACAGACAAGCCTGTATGGGTTCAGCAATGGCCTTTAACA